ATTCTTATTCTTATTTTATTCTTATTCTTATTTTATTCGTATCCTTATTCTTATTCTTATTCTTATTCTTACTATTATTCTTATGGAGTTATTGGTATTATCTAGTGTGTCCAATTGTACACACAATACAAACCGTGCTGAATAAAATAAAATGTAGAGCAATACAATACTATAGCCACCGGAAACGACACGAGACCATTGTGAAAGAGACGCTTGAAGGAAAGATGTGGAACAGGAGAGCCAGAGAAAGACAAAGAATAACATGGATGGACAACATAAGAACATGGACTGGCCTAGATATGGCAGAATGACGCAGCAGCAGCTCGAGACTGTGAGGGATGGAGGGTCACTACACGTCGACCTCTGAGTCAGAGATGACACTTCCAGGTATCCAGGTATCCAGGTATTATCTTAAATCTTGTTCTTGTATCTTTGTTATGACGAGAAAAAAATTCATACTTTGTCTTAAGTAGAAGTGGAGATATTTGCAGTTAAAGTAGGTGCATGGTCGACTGGTGACAGAGGTTACATTAGCAAGAATATGGCCGCCACAGTTTGGCAACTTTCAAAGCTTAATCAAGTGTTCTTGCAAACTGCATAATAACATTATTTACTTTTTTTGCCTTTAGTCAACGTTTGTAAGTACAATCCACCCAGAAATGTGTTTTAAGTAGACATTAAAGGTGTGCGTAAAATAGAAAAAGTAAAAAGATGAAAGAAAAAAAAGAAAAAAAAGAAATCATAAAATTACTTCGACTGAAAGAAAATGTTGCATTTCTTTCATTTCATTATTTTAACGAGCGCCTGATTTCCCCACGATGCTACCTTGTGGTATATCTCACATCTCTGCCTCTCCACTTACACCATTACTTTAGATCTCCTCGTCTCTACGAAATCGTTGAGTTGACTTGATCTAATCTTACGTGAAAGAATAACAACTACTCAATTGTCATGAATTAGGTGAGGTGTCTAGTGTCCGTGTGCTGGTATTTCTGCAGCTGTTCCTCGCTTATCTTTGTTCTATTATCTGTCTCTATATAATATTTTTCGCTCGTATTTCTTCATTAACTCTTTGAATCTATTTATCTACCACTCTGCCTGTCTAGCTTGTAGAATTCCTTTCCTCTCAAAGTCTATCAACTTACCAATATAGCCTACCTTTCTGTTTACCAGCTTAAGCAATTTGCCATCTCTTTTTTACCCCC